CAATAACAATAGAGTCCATGATGGTCTATAATGTTGTTTTTAACCTGATAAAAAAATTAGGTTGCAATCTTTTAGAATCAAGATTCCAATACTCTATAGAAACACCATGTAATAGAAGCAGAACATCTCCATTGCAAAATCAAAAACATAAGGATTACAGCTATACCTAGTAGTAGTACATAAGATGCGAATTAAATCAAGGATATTTCCAAAAACTCTTTGGTTTAAGATTTGTTACTTTTCCAAATAACCTTTTATGTAGCAATAGGGTTTGTTTTGGACACACCGATTGAAATACAAAGAGAGGGGAGAGGATTGATATGTAGTAGAAGTAAAATCAAAGAGAGTAGAGCTAAATTCAAATAAGCCTTTTTTTCTTTGAAAATTGACACAAAAACCCACACTCCCACCACACCCATACATCCACACCCCACCCTAATTACATCCACACCCAAAATCATGCACTACAACACAGTTGTAACATACAAAAAATTTTAAGCCTTTTTCAACCATGAAACCAAATAGTGTTTTACAAAATGTTTTCAAAATATTATTCATCAGAGTATCCCAGAAATATAGTCATATGGATGAGGAGCGGTACGGTCAAGCCTTCGCCTTGCCATGATCTCCGGAAGTACCTGAAACAATAAACTGAAACTGTAAGCCAGAGGGCTTAGTGAGCTACTCCCAAAATACCAATACCACACCGATAATACCATATCAATAATAGATAATCAACAACATGCATACTGGGCCTTCGGTCTGACTGGACCGCCCTGCAGGGCCTACAGTCTATCTGGATCTATCCCGAGCCTTCGGTATGACTAGACCGCCATACAGGTCTACATTCTATCCGAATTGCTCATAGGGTATGTTGGCCTTCAGCACAAAGCAGGATTGCCTCAACCCAAACATCAAGAAATAACAATGTGCACATAACTAACATATACTGGTATAATAGATATCAGATATAACTATATCACAGATCATCGATCATAGTAATCTCTCATAACCAGAGCACCGACCTAACCAGGTCACTAACATACCAATCCTAACGGATCATAAGAGCATAACAACATACTGTCTATCCTGATACTGATCTAACTGATCATAAACACATGGAGCATACTATAACAAAGATAACAACTAAAAGGGTCGGCCTTGGTGCCTTAGACCCTATTGATATAGTGAGGATAACTCACCTTGCTAGTAGCTCGGAAATGATACTGCTTACACCTCCAGATATAGCTCCAACCACCTCGCCTATACCCATAAGTTGTCCACTCAATAATTACTCAAAATACCCAAAATACCCTTGGGAGGTACATGACATCCCACAGTCAAGACAAGTCACTGGTTAATGGTCAACAGTCCATGTTGACCTATTTGTTGAACATAACTCTCTCTGCCTTGAGTCCCTCCTGATTCCAAAATTTCTCAACTCGACTCGCTGAGTCTCCAGCAGACTCGTCGAGTCGATACCCGATCTAGTGCATGGGATCCAAACTGACTTGCCAGGTCATCTCCCAGACCTCGCCGAGTCCATGCGGGACTAATTTGGACAAAACCCTACTCGACTCACTAAGTCATCTCCCAGACTCGCCGAGTCCATACACATACTCTCATGATCACGCGATTTTGAACTACCCCTTTGCTCCAATCATTAGATCTAGGTCCCTAGAGTGCATTAGCAACGTAAAGTTGCTACCTTTACGTATTTGCATGACTCAAATTCCACATCTAAGCTTAAAATGGGACTTTACTCATAAACAAGGGTTCCTTTATGCTTATTAAGGACTTTATGAACTTAGGGATCAAAAGGGATTCAGATCTGAAGTTTCAACTTTAGATCTAGCTCCCATACCATAATCCCTTCATGAATAGCTAAAGAAAGCCCTAAACTTCACATATGAAAGATTCTAGAAGAAAAGAGGTCAAGGTAACAGCTTGTTACCTCCAAAATGTGCCCAAACTGAAGTAGACTATGGATCCATACGAAAACCTTGATGCTAGCCTCTTGATCTACAAGTTTCCTTCACAAAAATCCCTTTCTAAAGCTCCAAAACACTCTCCAAGCTCTCACTCATGGAAATTAGGGTTTCTAGCTCATAAGGGGTGATAGAGGACAGAGGGAGGCGCTAATGGTCCAATATATAGGGTGCAAAAACCCTGAAATTTAGGGTTTCGTCTGTCATCTACTACTCGCCGAGTCCCCCATGCCTACTCGTCGAGTCACTCATTAAATGACGTGTCCTGACCCGCTGCTACTCGAAGAGTCACAGCGTCAACTCATCGAGTAGGCCTTAAAACATGAAATCTAATGGGATAATAATGATACCTGATGGTTGGGATGTTACAACAATTGATTTTGTTGAGTTTAAAACAAAGTAATAGATATCAAGCTTCAACACAAAAACAAACATGTATAACAAAGATCAGATATATATGAAATAGACTTGCATAGAAAATGATAGCTACTCAAGATGATGATGGTGATGGTGATGGTGATGGTACCCAAAGAGAAAGAGTAAGGAAATGAAGAGCACGAAAGAGAGGTGAATTATCTCATTCCCATCACCAAGAATGTTGATTTCTTAATTGTCTCCTCCTAAAATAAATATTATATTCTGACAAGAAACATGCATGAGACAATTCTTTTGTTTTTTGGAGATTTAAAAAAATATATATGCTCATTTGGAAATCAAATAATTTCTAATGTTCCCCATTCACCTAATTGCATTTAAAATACTTTTCAGCATGGATGAGCAACGAGCCGAACCCGGACCGGACCGACCCGAAGACAGAAAATCGTGAATTACCTTACCCAAAAACCGAATTGTTTTTGGGTGTAGCGGGTCCGGGTTCGATCCATTCCGGTCTGGTTCCGCATACTAAACCGGGTTTCGGGTTTTGGACCTAATTAGACTTTGGTAGTGTTGTTTACGGTTTTGGTCCAATCATGTTCCTGGTACCAAACTGGGTTTCGTATGTTTGTTGTTTATAGTTTTAGATTTTGTTTGTTATGTTACTCTCTAGCATACTATTTCAAATTATAATCTTATTACGTAGCATCCATCATTCGTATCTTTATTGTTTGCACAATTCAACTAAAAAAATACAAAAGAAGATGAATACAACGGTACAAACATTATTAAAAAAAACTACACTATTTTTATAAAAGAATGTTTATGCAAACAAATACAAATGTTATTAAAAAAAATACACTACTTTTTATAAAAAAAAATACACTATTTTTGTATAAAAAGAATTCACACCTAACATGGCTATTTTATAAAATTAAAAAAAAAACGCACTATTTTTATAAAACATAACTGCACTATTTTTATAAAAAAAAAATGCACTTAACAACATTTTTTATTAATAAATATTACATTATTAAAAAAAACTACACTATTTTTATTTAAAAAAATTGTATTAGGAAATAACTTTTGACTTTTCGTGAAAAAAAAATCGACACCAGAATGCGATCAAAAGAAGAGGTTAAAACCAAAAAAATTTACACTATAATGTGGCTGAATCAATTCAATCGGACAACATTTTTTTTTATGTTGGTAATTCTCGTAACTGTTTGTCAATAAAAATAATAATAATAATAACTTTTGGTTTTCCGGTCCGATCCGTGTTAAATCCTTTAATTCGGGTACGGTCCGGTCCAAACCTGAAACCCGATTATTGAGAAAAACCAAACCCGAAAACCGTCCCACTAATATGATAATCCGGTTCGATCCAGTCCCAATCTTTTTACGGGTCCGATCCGGTCCCATTGGTCGTATGTTCATCCCTACTTTTCAGGTAATTAACCTTTATTATCTACCGCATACATTCATTAATTAAAACCCTTTCTAGTGGTCTTCCATGATTTCCCCCTAGATTCACCATCCTACCAATCCCTTTTCAGCAAAATCTTACTAACATAGCATCATGTTTCAAACTCAAGTGTCTGCATCTAAGCGTGAGGTGAGAAAACTTCCAAAGCAATTTGGCCAACATCCTATCCTAGGTTGTTTGAAAATCATTTAAAATTTTCACAACAACTTAAAGCGAATTCAAAGCTAAAGAAACAATGTGTGTGTAGAGTTATCATATTCAAAGCTGAAAGAGTAATGTATGATGGATCAACTTATGAGGATAAGCCAAAAGCAAACCAAATGCAAGCTGAATTATAACGAAAATAAAATCATTAATTAAAGAAATTCAAACCCCTTACTCTTTCGGTACGAATTTACAACCACTTTTCAGTTTATATTTTGGAATAATGATCCGAATTGTTAGGATTGATAGTATTAGAGAGCAGGTTCTCTATTGGTGATTAGTGGTGTACATTTGATACTTCTAATTATAGCGTTCCACAAACAGAAATTTGGGGCTATAAAAGAGAAGGATGCCACCACTATCCGCAAACGTCGCTTGGTGTCTCTCAATTGCTTTCATTGAATTGAGTGAGAAAGGTAGAAGACAGGTCATTTGGAAAATATTAGGGAGAGAGAAACGAAGTCACAGTTAAACGCCACATGTCCTTCCTTACATCAAATCCATTGTCGTCCCCTAACTTCACGGTCACTTCTTGTACGCAAAAAGCTCTCAATCTCCCCTATCACACACTCACTCGCGCACACAAGGATTACTCGCCTTCCATATTCAACTAATTCGATTTGTGGAAAATTTTTCTATAGGTTTTCATGTTCGTCCTCTACTCCGTTAGGCACATATTGATTAAGATCTATTATTTTATTGATAGTATTAGGCGATCGCGTGCGGATTATGGTTAAATATCAGGGATTTTGGTGATAAGAAGCATTAGGGGAAAAGATTAGAGTTTCAAAACATATATATATCCCACCCTCTTTTTTACATTCGTTAAATACACTTCATACCATGCATCGAGAAAACCTAGTAGCATTGTAAAAAGTGTGTTGGGTCCTCATCGCCATGGCAATCACTCCAACTCCAATACTAACGTACCCCCATGACCATGGCCAATGGGAGGCCTTTTCATTCCCAAAATGAATGATACTTATTCGGATGATGGATGGGCTCCATTCAACAGGAAAGACGACACTTCAAAATTAGGGGAAATAGACGTTGCATTTCTAGCAGTTTATTCATTAGGGATGTATGTTGTTGGTCATTTAGGAGATACTTTGGATCTTCGATTGTTCTTGACAACTGGGATGATCGGGAGTGGAATCTTTGTGGCATTATTCGGGATCGGTTACTTTTGGGATGTTCATCATTTTTGGTATTTTTTGGGGATACAAATGGTTGTTGGATTGTTTCAGGCGACCGGATGGCCATCTGTGGTGGCAATGATCGGGAATTGGTTTGGTAAAAGGTGGGGGGATTGATAATGGGGATTTGGAATGCTCATACATCTGTCGGAAATATCAGTGGTTCTCTTCTTGCTGCCAGTGTTCTTGATTACGGTTGGGGTGGTGCTTTATTCTTCTGGCAGCTTTTATCGTGGCAACCGGAGTCATGGTGATTTTGTTCTTGGTTGCTTATCCATAAGATGTAGGCTTGCTGGATCCAAGTGAATCTTCTCCAAATGCGATAGGATCGATTCATGATGATAATATGATGTGGTAAGAGGGTACATCCAATGATGATGAGTGCCTCGTTCCTCACATCCATTCTGTTAATTGAAGAGGCGTTGGTTTTGTTAGAGCTTGTTTCATCCCCGGAGTCATTCTGTTTTCATTATGCTTTTTCTTCTCAAAACTTGTTGCATACGCCTTTCTCTTTTGGTTTCATTTCTATCTAATCCAAAGAGGTACGATACTATCTGCATTTTTTTTTTGCAGAGTACAAAACTAGCACCCTACTTTCATTTATTTTTCTTATCAAGGCATTATAGTTCTAACATCCACCCATTCATAGCATCATACTTTCAGTTTTGGCTAATTAGGACATTATATGAGTGAAATTTACTTTATTTGTATTTTACCAACATTGCTATAATTGAAGAGATTTATCAAACTACAATTTTGAAGCAAGATACTGTTATGAACAAATCAATACTTCTTCCATTTAGCCCTTGCACAAAATAGACATACAACTTACTGTGTGATGTTGGTTTAGTTAAAAAGAAACACCATTATAAAAAGATGTCATTTGCAAGTTTTTATTAGAATGTATATGACTTTTCTATGTAACCAATGTAATTTGAAGTATAGTTTAATTTGTAAAGCTATAATGCACAAATAGCATGAAAGGATCTTGTAAAGGCAGTAGAATGGAATTGCTATTTGATGTTAGAGATTGTCTGGATGACATTTAAACTGACTGTTATGATTTGAAGTTGCATCAATCAATTTATTGTGTGTGCATAAACTGATTATGCTTACGATAATTTCATTATTTAGGGTCAAAATAATCAAAGTCATAAAAATTAGACATTAGTAGTTGTAGTAAACTGATTATTGATATATATATATATATATATATATATATATATATATATATATATATATATATATATATATATATATATATATATGAAATTACTAAATAGCTCTAGCTTTATACAATTGATTATCTGATAAAGTTAGATAGGATTTTTAAGACGTTTTTTTGGTGATCACTGTTACAGTGACATTTATATCTTTTGTAATAACAAGAGATCAAGAGCCAGTGAATGTCCCAACTTTTTCCACCTTTTTGGATGGGAGAAAAAGTTGCAATTTTTGTTCCCAATGACTTTGGTTCATGCCACTCTTGTGACTTAATGCATACCAAACATAGTACCATCCGCATAGAGATATTTTTATAATTCTTTGATGATGATCAATTTTCAAAGTTTGCACATAACTGCAGCTTTTCATTATGTATTTACCTCCTTTGGGTTCATTTAACTATTGACATCACCCTTTGAGGTTACAGAGATCGGTGGAGAGTGTTTATCAGTAAAATCGGCTAGAAACATGTCGACTTTATTCGATGTCGAGGGAATCTTCGGTGGAATTTTAGTCGGATATATTTATGATAGACTCAAGGTGCGTGCCACCACTGCCGCAACTTTTATGTATGCCACCTTCCCATCAATGCTTCTATATAGAACTTATGGAAACATCTCAAAGACCATGAAGATTATCCTAATGATAACTGTGGGCCTTTTATAAACGGTCCTTATGCTCGAATCATCATCACGGTTTCGACTGATCTCGGGACACATAGTTCTTTGAAAGGCAATTCACAGGCCTTGGCAACCGTGGCCGTTATTATTGATGGCACAATTTCTTTCGAGGTGGATTTGTATCCTCTTTTGACTGGATTTCTTTCTACCAAAAGGATAGGATGCAGTATTCGTGATGTTAATGATCGGTGCCTAAAAAAAATCGGGTTCAGGTTCGAGGTCGACTACTAGTTCAGGATCAGGTTGGATTTCCCAAAAAAATTCAACTACTTTGTGTTAGGTGTTGGCTTCTCAGAATGTATTCGGAGAGAGAGAGGAATTTTTTTTAACATGGTTAGCTTAAGGGATTGCATGATCTAATATTGTTGTGGTATTTGTTGGTAGTGAATTGTTAGGGTTGGGGTCGGGGAAGTCTGAAAGGGATCAAGTTGTGGTCGATAAACTAATGAATCTAGAGGACGAAGATTTGCACGTGATTGTTTCGACCAGATCATGGGTTGAAATTGGAGGGATGGTTGTTTGTAATCATTTTTGAAATATAAGAGTCTAGATTTTGTATGAAGTGAATGTGTTGGTGGTGTGAAATGTGTGATACAGAGTACGAAATTTATAATGGTTATTTAAATATAAATAAATTAAAAAAAAATTCAAAATTCAGAAAAAAAAACCATCAAAAAACGGTCACAAACATTCCAACAAGAAAAAAGACGATAAAGGATGCTACAAGCTTCTATCCGACGGTGGCCTTACCGTGATACAATACCTCGGTCGGTAAATTGTACTTTTCTTTCTCTCTCTCTCCCCACTAAATTAGGCCACAAAACATGATATAAATAGTAGGAGGTATTTAATTATTTTTACTTCTCTTATACAAACATATCAAAACTGTAGTGTCGATAAACAATGGGATGTTCATTGAAGAATTTACCTTGGCATTAACCTTAGATGATATATAGATAGATACTCTTTAGATAACAAGTCAACTAAGTGCAGGATAATGCTTTAATCTCAAAGATGACCCTATTTTGCAGCATTAAGTCTAGAAGAAAATATAAATTTTGAAAGAAAATTATCTAAAGCAGAGAACATCAGCAACATGCACTCCGGCTGCACCCCATACCCTAATCCCCACATTCACCACCACCCTACCCTTACATCCACACCTAAATTCATTTAATGTAGTCTGCACCAGTTGATTGTGTTTCTTGAGTGTAGAAACAACTATAAAGAGTAGAATCCATATCATGCAATGCAAGCTTCAACACAACAACAAACATTCCAAATACCATGTATAAAGAGGAAAAGTATGTTAGTTCATGTGCTCCATTTCTTGAATCGGTGTATAGAATGGGGTAGCAGTGGTCTGCTTTTATACTGGTTTGTAAAGACAGGATATCAATTCGTCATTAAGGACTTAATTGGGCCAATAAATGCTATTAGTTACGCAATGAATACACCAGTAACCAAAATTCAAACCAAGGACCAAAACTGTATAGAATGAGGTAGCAGTGGTCTGCTTTTATACTGGTTTGTAAAGACAAGATATCAATTTGCCATTAAGGAATTGATTGTGCCAATAAATGCTATTAGTTGGGCAATGAATACACCAGTAACCAAAATTCAAACCAAGGACCAAAACTATAAAGTTTAGCAAAAACGAGGGTTTCGCGGGCACGATTTATCTGGAGTTGCATTTGTGTCCGTAGGTCGTGCCCACGCACAAGTTCGGTAAATTTGGCCTTCGAAATCCAAAATTTGCACCCCCTGCGTGAAGGTAGGAGTTGGAGTAAAACCATAGACACAAGCTTGTAAGCCTATAATACATTCAAGCTTATAAACTCACTTGAGTTTAGTCTTTCTACCAATATGGGAATCATTCCCACACCCACTTCACTTCTAACTTTTATTCTAAAATACCAACATTAAGTATCGATATCTCATTCACATATACTCCATTGTAGACATACGATATATCAGTTCTCACGGAGTAGAACACAAACCCAATTAGAGTTAATTATATATACAACATATGTATATATCTATATATGTCCAAAGTTAGTAAAAATATAAATATTTGTACTGAAATTTCCAACAAAGTAGTCTTAATATGCTTCTACCTTCGATTTCTAAGGATTCTACTTTACCTCATTTTCCTGTAACATGATCTTACCTTGTGTGAAGACAATTTATCAAAGATCAGATATAGAGGAAACATTCTTGCATAAAAAAGATGATAGTTACTCAAGATGCATGGTGATGGTACCCAAACCAAACCAAAGAGAAGGGATTTGAAGAACATGGTATACAGATTTCATTAAAATTTTCAGCTAGCCTTTTGGAGTTTTATGTCCCATCCCATAACCAAGAATGTTAATTTCTTAATTTTGTCCTGCTAAACTAAACCCATTATGCATAAATAAATATTATACATCCACATGAGAAAAAAATATTTGTTTTGGCAGTAGGCTTGAAATGTCCCTGTATTCAGCTTTCCCAGATTAAAATATTTACATACTCATTTGGAAATCAAATAATATTGCATAAACAAAAAGCTCTACGCATCTAAAATACTTTTATTCATTAATCAAAACCCTTTCTAGCTAGATTCACCATCCTACCAATCCTAAGAAAAGTATGAGAGAGGGTATGAGGGTATGATGGAGCCAAACCAGCTATCTCGGATCAACTTATGAGGATAAGCCAGAAGCAAACTAGATTCAATGTTAATTTATAACACGGCCATACCCCTTATTCTTTCGGTACCAATTTACAACCTCTTTGCAGTTTATATTTTGGAATAATGAACCGGATGTTGGAACTGATAGTGTTATGCTCTGGTGCTGATTAGTGGTGAACATTTGATACTTGTAAGGGTTGTGCTATAAGTACCCCTTTTAGCCACATTTACCCATTTACCCCCTTAAAGTCAATCAAATCAGAATTTTGACATTTGATTTGACATCATTTTTTTCTTTTTTTTCTTTTGTTTTTTTTTCCTATTTTGTTATTTTATTTTTTTAATTCTTTATTATTATTATGATTATTATTATTATTATTATTATTGTTGTTGTTGTTGTTGTTGTTGTTGTTGTTGCTATTATAAATTTCGCACAAAATTTTAACATTCAGACGATATTATAAATTTGAACAGCTATATAAAACCGAAAACATTGTATAGTGTTCCACTAAATGTTTTCAATTCGCATAAGGCACCACACAATTGTAATACCGTACCAATTAATATCCGCAATTAATAGGGACAACTTTTGCTTTTTTCGATTTTATATAGTGGTTCGAATATAAAATGTCCGATTTATAAAATGTTGTTCGAAATTTATAATAATAATAACAATAATATTATTGTTATTAAAATATAAAAAATATTTAAAAACCGATTTTATATAGTTGTTCGAATTTATAATGTCATCCGAATGTTAAAATTTTATGCGAAATTTATAACAACAACAACAACAACAACAACAACAACAACAATAATAATAATAATAATAATAATAATAATAATATACATTATAAAATAATTAAAAACAAAAAAACAAAATTGGAAAAAAAAACAACAAAAGACAAAAAAAAATCAAATCAGGAGGGGTGGAATTGGAAAAGGAGGAGGGTACTTATACAAAACCCCATGTAATTACAACGTTCCACAAACAGAAATTTGGGGCTAGAAAAGAGAATCTGCAATCGTCGCGTTGTATCACTCGATTGCGAGTGAGAAAGGAAGAAAACATGTCATTTGGCAAATATTAAGGAGAGAGAAACCGAATCCACAATTAAACGTCACGCCACATGCCCTTCCTCACATCAAATTGCCCATCCCCCAACTTCGCGGTCACTTAAACTACGCCAAAAGCTCTCAATCTCCCCTCACACACTCACGCACACACGAATTCCCCACCTTCCATATTCAACCAATTTCATTCGTGGAAAATTTTGCTCCTGGTTTGAACATTATTCCTCTTCTTCTTTATGCAGAAAGTGATTAAGGTCTATTATTTTAGTAATAATATTACGCGATCGACTGCGGATTAAGCTTAAATATGGGTATAATGAGAAGGATACCTGCAGGGATTTTGGTGATAAGAAGCATTAGGGGGAAAGATTGGAGTTTGAAAACGTATAGATATCTCACCCTCTTTGTTACATTTGTTGCATACACTTCATACCATGCATCGAGAAAACCTAGTAGCATTGTAAAAAGTGTGTTGGATCCTCCTCGCCATGGCAATCACTCCAACTCCAATACTAACGTTCCCCCATGGCCATGGCCGATGGGAGACCTTTTCATCCCCAAAATGAATGATACTTATTTGGATGATGGATGGGCTCCATTCAACGGGAAAGACGGCACTTCAAAATTAGGGGAAATAGATGTTGCATTTCTAGCGGTTTATTCATTAGGGATGTATGTTGCTGGTCATTTAGGAGATACTTTGGATCTTCGATTGTTCTTGACAACTGGGATGATCGGGAGTGGAATCTTTGTCGCATTATTCGGGATGGGTTACTTTTGGGATGTTCATCATTTTTGGTATTTTCTAGGGATGCAAATGGTTGCCGGATTGTTTCAGGCCACCGGCTGGCCATCGGTGGTGGCAGTGATCGGTAATTGGTTTGGTAAAAGGCGGAGGGGATTGATAATGGGGATTTGGAATGCTCATACATCTGTCGGCAATATCAGCGGTTCTCTTCTTGCCGCCAGTGTTCTTGATTACGGTTGGGGGTGGTGCTTTATTCTTCCGGCAGCTTTTATCGTGGCAGCCGGAGTCATGGTGTTTTTGTTCTTGGCTGCTTATCCAGAAGATGTAGGTTTCTTGGATCCAAGTGACTCTTCTCCAAATGCGAGAGGATCGATTCATGATGATAATATGATATGGGAAGAGGGTACATCCAATGACGAGGAGGCCCCCGTTCCTCACATTCATTCTGTTAATCGAAGAGGCGTTGGTTTTGTTGGAGCTTGTTTCATTCCTGGAGTCATTCCGTTTTCATTATGCCTTTTCTTCTCAAAACTTGTTGCATACACATTTCTCTTTTGGTTGCCTTTCTATCTAAGCCAGACAGGTACGGTAGTTTGTACATGTTTTTTTTTTTTTTGCGAAGTACAAAACTAGCACCCACTTTCATTTATTTTTCGTATAAAGGCATTATAGTTCTAACATCTACCCATTCATAGCATCATACTTTCAGTTTTGGCTAATTAGGACATTATATTAGTGAAATTTGCTTAATTTTTATTTTACCAACATTGCTATAATTGAATAGATTTATCAAACTACAATTATGAAGTAAGATACTATAAGGAACAAATCAATACTTCTTCCATTTAGCCCTTGCAAGAAATAGACATACAACTTACTGTGTTATGTTGGTTTAGTTAAAAAGAAACACCATTATAAAAAGATGTCATTTGCAAATTTTCTTAGAATGTATATGACTTTTCTATGTAGCCAATGTAATTTGAAGTATAGTTTAATTTGTTAAGCTTTAATGCACAAATGGCGTGAAAAGATCTTGTAAAGGCAATAGAATGGAATTGCTATTTGTTGTTAGGGATTGTCTGGATGACATTTAAACTGAATGTGAGCTTACAGAGATTGGTGGAGAGCGTTTATCAGTAAAATCGGCTGGAAACTTGTCAACTTTATTCGATGTCGGGGGAATCTTCGGTGGAATTTTAGCCGGATATATTTCTGATAGGCTCAAGGCGCGTGCCACCACCGCCGCAACTTTTATGTACGCCGCCATCCCATCAATGCTTCTATATAGAACTTATGGAAACATCTCAAAGACCATGAACATTATCCTGATGATAATTGCGGGCCTGTTTATAAATGGGCCTTATGCCCTGATCACCACCGCGGTGTCTGCCGATCTTGGGACACATAGTTCTTTGAAAGGCGATTCACGGGCCTTGGCAACCGTGACCGCTATTATTGATGGCACTGGTTCTATCGGGGCAGCTTTAGGTCCGCTTTTGACTGGATTTCTTTCTACAAAAGGGTGGGATGCGGTCTTCGCGATGTTGATGATTGGTGCCTGTATCGCGGGTCTACTCTTGACTCGCCTTGTTTGTACTGAACTCACAGAGAGGACGGCCTTGACAAGTCCACGTCCACGAAACAATGTTGAAGGTATATCGTATGCTTTTTTGCTTTTCAATTATGGGTTCTTTATGCTCTTTGTTTGGTACGCAAGACACAATTGTGTTTTAAATGAGATGTTAAAGTATTTTGTCGGTAGAATTAGGTGGAACATGGATTCGTCTCAATTGGACAAAGACTATAGTATATTTTTTCCACCCACAAAGGTGGTATAAGGTGGGATATAGGATAATGTCTATAGGACCAATATTGATAGCCACAATATTTTATCTCACCCAAAATGATGGAATAAGATGGAAACATAGGATGTCATTATTACAAAAAATGCACTATTTTGTCTCAACCAAAAAGGTGGCACACAGACCAATGTTGATATGACAAAAAACGGTTATAGTTTCTCTCTCCAAAAAAGGTGGGACACGATCATTATCAATGAGATAAAAACTGAAGTAATTTGTATCTCATCCAAAATAGCAGAATAAGTTAGGACACTGACAGATGTTGATAGGATAAAAAGGGCAACATTTGCTCAACCAAAGAAAAGGTGGAACAAGAACACATGGAAAAACTGTAATATTTGGTCACACCCAAAATGTAGGTAATTGGACAGGGGATCACTCTCGATCTCTTACATGTTCAAAAAGACATGAATGTCCTCCTTTTTTTCTCAGTTATTGAAAATCATCTTAGAAAGGTTGTGAATCAGATGTAGCAAGTAGCAATTATACACTATTTTGGAGTATTTATTAGCCAAGAGACATGACTTAATCCGGTAAGGTATATGTCAGTGTTGTTTGAACTTAATATGAAAAGCTAGGAAAATATGGCTTTTCCCGATAAGTCCTAACATTTTATAAATTTGCGTTTTTTTCTTCTATATCCTCAAGTTTGTTGTCACTTTTTCATATTTTTAAACAACATTCATCAATACACCATTTTTCTCTTTTATTTGGTGCAGCTCCTTTATCTCAATCACTTTTACGTGACGGGAGGAGGTAGTCGCTCGTGAGCATTGCTGACAATCGATACACATTTTTAAGTAGAAAAGAATGGTTTACATAGGACAAAAGAACGACATGGTGCACGTCTGCATTCATAGGTGATATTGTATTAGATTTGTGAGAGGTGACATACAACAAAATCCTATGAACATATAATTTTTACATCATTTTGTTCAACTATTTATGTGTAACAATCAGCTATAAATACAATTTTGTGGTGTTTTTGCATCATTTACGTTTCTATCTTCTTCTTTTTGGCTTTTATGTTTTGTCGTATTCACTATTGAAAACACATTATGCAAATGTTGTAACATAATTCCGTCAATTTGGTATCATTGTGCAACACTAGAAAATACATAATATATATATATATATATATATATATATATATATATATATATATATATATATATATATATATAGGGCTGGGTTATTTTCTTTTTTACATTTATTGTGTGTTAGAATGCACCAATAGAAATTTAGTAAATTAAATAATTATTTAATTAAATAAATATAGATATTAAATGATTCCCATAATTATATGTATACTAAATGATATCCATAATTATAATTCTCTTTTTAAGGAAACTAATTAAATCCGTCATTAATGTCTGCAATAACATTCTTTCAGAATGAATTTGCATCTAGGTTTTTATATATGAGTTCGTATTTTGTTTCAGGATTCACTCACTTAAAATACAATAAAGTTGCATAAAATATGAAAAACGAGAGTGTATTCTACTATAATACACTCTCATTCGGTTGGATTACACTCTCATTCTTCTAGATATGAATTCATTCTGAAAGAATATTATTATTAACATTAATGATGAATTTAATTGGTTTCCATAAAAACGAGTTATAAGTATGGATAACATTTAATATACATATAATTAATACTAAATTCATATTGGTACATTTTATATGGAAAACATTTATTTATATATATATATATATATATATATATATATATATATATATATATATATATATATATATATATATGGGATCTTCATAGAACGGGATTATTGCTATCTTAATAACAAAAAGATTCCAAATGGTTGCTAAAATTTTAGTGAATGATAGATAATTATTGTTATCATGATTTAATATCATAATAACTTTCTTTTTATGCTATAGTCATAAGATCACTATGATCCTGGGATGGGGATGTCCAATGTACGCCTCCGGTACTGATAGGAACATCGCCCCACCCACTCATTATTGTCCGAAAGGAAGCTGTCTCGAGTACATGTCTTGAGTATCCTTCCCTCTTTTGACCCCCTTGTACATTGTATGGGAGACATTATTAATACCCCATATTTTATAATATTACCCCCTTAAGACACCCTTGCTAGACATCTTTAGACACCCAAATTTAAAAATTAAATAACTTTTTGCATTGGAATTTCCGTTTGACTGCTTAACATTCAATAAAGATTTCAGCAAAGTATATTTTAAAATTTTACAACATAGCCCCTTATAAAAAGCAAAATAACATTTTTAGCTTTTAAATTAAACTCATTATACTTCAAATATTTTTCAAACTGCCACTTACGATCCAATTTTTTTTTCTTTTAGAGTAATTTTTTTTTACAATCATAAATTTCAATTAAATAACCACTAACCATTTTTTGAAGACTGTGTTTTTAATAAGAATTAAATTTGATTACATTGAAACTTGTTCAAAATCAACTACTAACCGATTGTTAAAAAAAATTCTTAGTTTATAAGCTAATAACACAAATTAACAGTAAACAGACCAAAATCTAGGTAAATAATCTATTCTAAATCTTAAATAAACTTTTGAAGTATTTATTGCAATGTTGTCATCTTCACCTTTACCGGCGGTCCGACAGTGGTATACCGAGTATACCGAGTATACAGATGTGTATTGACAAAGAGTGGAGAGTGGAGAGTTCTGTCAAAAATCGGATGCTACAATTGTCGTTCTGACGATGTCAATGCCATATGCGATGTCAGTAACCATGGTCGAATACCAGGATTCGGTATGAAGGAAGAATCGGAGAAGACGGCGGAGGTAAAGAGACGGCGACAATGGTCGACAGGAAAGAGACGACGACAATGGTGGTTCGTCGTTTCTGATGGTGGCGACGATCAATCCGATGAGAAAGGGTGGAGAGTAGTAGCTTTCAATGAGAGTGTAGAGCGTGGATTGACAGAGATACTATAGATTTTGGAGTGGAGGCTAACAAATTTTAGGGTTTTCTTTTGTATTTATGTGGACGGGTTAAACATTGGGCTAAAAAAAAATGGGCTGAAAGTTAAAACATGGGCTTCACGTTTTTTAGTTTACACTAATTTTTTTTTATAAAACATATTAGTTTTTAGATTAATAGTTTATATATAATTTTATTTTTTATAATTATTTTTTATTTTGCAGTGTTTAGCAAAAAATGTAGAGACCCAACGGAAATAATTTAAATGACGGCGTTGAGAACACGACGACGACATCATCGTTTTCTACCAAGCGGGTATATTTCAAATGTTGATTAACATTTTTTATCATTGTGTTACAATTTGTTAACAATTTTTTTAAAAAAAAAAATAAGTGTTTACATCTCGTGATGAGTTGATGGAATGGGTGCAAAACATTGCATTCTCTCTTGGTTATGTCATCGTGATGAGAAGATCAAAGGCAAAAAATGGCGTGGTGTCTTATATAACCCTTATTTGTGACCGTGGCCGGGAATACGAAAGCAAAGCAACAATTAAAAATTCTGGAACCAAAAAAATCAATTGTAACTTTCAATTGGTAGGTTCGTATATCAAACAATATGGCGGTTGGACCCTCAGGGTGATATGTGATCAACATAACCATTCACCTGCACAATATATGGAGGGACATGTTTTTGCTAGGCGGTTAAAAGAACACAAGAAACAAATGGTAGCTGACTTGACAAATCTGAATGTTACACCACATGACATACTCTCGATAATAAAGGAGCACGACGAGAATAATGTTTCTACACTAAAAACCATATACAATGAGCGTCTCAAGCTTCGCTCGTCCCGGAATTACGGAAAAACTTCAATGCAGGTTAGTATATCCAACAAGTAGCATTTTAAATTTAATTTATATATTAAATTTTTTATTAATTAACAGTATATAAATGTAGGTTCTAATGGAAATTTTGAACGAGAAACATTTTGTTACGGATTTCTCGGTAAACAGTATATCAAATGAATTGGAGAATCTTTTCTTCATTCATCCACGATCGTTGAATATATGGAAGGCATTTCCACATGTTTTGATTATGATGCAACATACAAGACCAACAAATATGGTATGCCTTTTGTTCAGATTGTTGGCACAACTTCAACCAACAAGACATTTAGCATAGCTTTTGCCTTTATCGTTAATGAAAAGGAGGATAAGTATAATTGGGTGTTAACGTGTCTAAAGTCAACACTAGAGAAGTGCATGCACCCACGTGTTATAGTCACAGACAGGGAATTGGCACTGATGAACGCATGTCAACAAGTTTTCCCCGGTGCCACTCGGTTACTTTGTAGATGGCACATTACTGAAAATATTAGAAAGCGTTGGAGGAGAACATTCAAGATAGACGATGAGTGGAAAGCCTTTCGTATAATGTGGACTGTACATGTTGACTCTCCAACATGGATAGTGTACAATGAAAACTACAAAACACTCCAATCGATGTTGAGAAATTATCAAGGTACAAATCTTCTTTTTTTCTAACTAGTTATTTATGATTTTAGATTATTTTTATAGATAAATAACATTTATATAATTGCAGATGTTTTAAATTATCTGGATGAAGTTTGGTTAAACAAATATAAGGAAATGTTTGTCTCAGTCTGGATCGATCAACATCTCAACTTTGGACAACGAACTACAAATAGAGTTGAGAGCGCATATTCAAATCTAAAGAAGTACTTGGATGGTACAAATTCTTCTCTTGATAAATTTATCGGTTGTCTTGATCAATTTGTGAGGTCTCAACTTCCATCGATACATGATAGTCTTGAAAAGAGTAGAATTGTTCGTAAACGGGAGCACAACTTGCCATGTTTTACATTATTGTGGGGTTCAGTGTCACATGAAGCTCTCGATAAACTAGTTGGAGAACTTTATCGGTTGAATGAAAATCAAACTGACTCATCAAACTGTGGTTGCAAACTACAACATAGTTGTGGCTTACCATGTGCTTGCATGTTATTAGTTTACTTGAACTCGGGTGAGTATATTCAACAAGTGTTTTTTTTAATTTAATTAATATATTGAATTTTTATATATTAATGGTATTTCAATACAGGTGAGTATATTCCATTAGAATCGATAGATATATTCTGGAGAAAGCTTGATTTATCAGAGTCAATTTATGTAGCTAATGAGGATATTCGTTGTGAGGATGATTTAGAAATGATTAAAGAAAACTTCTATCAACAGTCAAAAGCAGGAAAAAAAAAGTATGATAAGGAGGCTAAGATATCTTTTCCTACCAAGTAAAACACGCATTAAGGAACCCGCAATTCAAAAAAATACTCGTGGACGACCAAAACAACAAAAACGAGTTGATTCTACAAATCAAGCTCCCAGAAGACGTAGTTATTCAACCACATCAAAATATGATGGATTGAATTCAACATGGATGAACAAGGAACCGGCAAGACATAGTTCATATGTAACCGCAATTCCAGACATGAATGAAGCAATTCCAGACATGAATGAAGCAATTCCAGAATTTGATGAAGCAATTCCAGACATGAATGAAGCAATTCCAGAATTTGATGAAGCAATTCCAGACATGAATGAAGCAATTCCAGACTTGAATGAAGCAATTCCAGACTTAAATGAATTTATGGATTTGAACCAAGAGCCTGAGTCATGCTACATTCATCCATTAATGGATGACATCCCACCCGTGTTTCATCCATACGTCTCACATATACAAAATGTTGAGGGTGATGGACATTGTGGATTTCGAGCAATATCTGTTTGTCTCGGGTATGGCGAAGATCAATGGCTCTACGTTCGAAAACAACTAGTACACGAGTTAGAGAGTGCATTCGATGTATATGCTACGGTTTTCACAGATGGAATCCATGAATTGTGGAATTCATTGTATTTCTTCGGACCGAGTGCACCAACGGAACATTGGATGCTTATGCCTGAAACAGGTATCCTGATTGCTAACAGGTTTGGTGTGATCCTTACTTTCTTAACCAATCGTGGTTCCTTAATTTTCTTTCCTCTTTGGAAAGGCCCGGAAGAATTTTTGGACCATCGGATTATTACAATTTCACTCATACGTGGTCCTCATTATGTTATGGTACAATTAAAAGAAGATTGTCCGATGCCTACCATTTCGGCTTTATGGATCCGTCACAGAGCCCCGTGTGCAACTGGATGGGAAAATATGTTTGTCACGTCTACAAATTTATAGACAACTGAAACCTTGTAATCGTGATTTTATAACTATAAAGGATTGTTAAAGAATATTATTTATGTCTTGCAAATTTATAGACAACTGAAACCTTGTAATCGTGATTTTATAACTATAGAGGAATGTTAAAGAATATTATTTATGTCTTGTATTTGAAGAATTTTTAAATTAGCTGATTATTGAATGATTAAAGTTTATCTCATAGTGTTTATTATTGTTTTAGTATAAAAAAAAACAAGTAAAGCATACGTACATAAGTTAAAAAAATATGTTCGTTAGTATTTTGTTATAAAATATTATTTAAAATAAAAGTTAATAAAAATAGTTATTAGTGTTTATTATTGTTTTAGTATAAAAAAACAAAAAGTAAAGCATACCCTACATAAGTTAAAAAAAATATGATAGTTAATATTTTGTTATAAAATATTATTATTGTTTTAGTATAAAAAAATAAAAGTAAAACATACGATACATAAGTTAAAAAAAATATGTTAGTTAATATTTTGTATAAAATATTATTTAAAATAAAGGTTAATAAAAATAATTATTTACAAATAACAAATAATAATCATTGTTAAAAAGTCAAAAGTAGATAATCATTATATAATTATTATAGGTTGTCTATTTAGATTATGGGGTGTCTATTTAGCCAACCCCTTATTAAAAGTTTGGTAACTTTACTGTACACCTATACTACAATACACTTTTGAGCCAATTGATGCATCTGACCCTAACGTCCTTTATTTATTTATTTTTTTTACCAGCTACGTACATTTTTTTTATAGATTTTGTTAAAAATTAGGGCTAATCATTGACATTAAAAATTCAAGGACGAACTATTATTCACAATTTTTTATTTTTTTATTGACGTCCATAAAACTTATTTGTGGCTTCTATTCTTATTTTAATTTTTTGTTTTTTTGTGTGTTCATAATTACCCATCTGTTTTACATAAATATATTAAATATTTTTTGTTTCTCTTTTATTCTTATCATATTCAATTTGCCGTATTTATAACTTTTTTGTTATTCCAAACATAAGCATGAAGTAATAGAAATAAAAATATCAATTTTTATAATATTTTTAATAGATCAATGGTGTGTCATGTTTTAACGTGAAAAAAAAAATTAAGCCATCATTGTCGTAGATTGTCGTAGATAGGAGACAAAGAGATGTAGCTTCAGTCAACATGTGAAACTCGCTTGAAGGTCAACGTAAATCGTCAAAAGCCGCCGTGAAATATTTGAACTTTTTTTTATTATTTGTTGCGTTAAAATATTATTTTATTATTGTTGTGTCGTGTTTGAACTTTTTTTAAAAAAAAATTTGAATAAAAATATTTACACATCATAACCTAATTATTAAGATTAAAAGGATATATATTGTAAGCTTAATAAAAATGGGAGTGCTGGAATTGAAATAAAAATAATATTTTCTTTATTCCCCCTTCACGTTTTTTATTAACTATTTTTACAAACTTTCGTACAAATTATTTCACAACTTTTTAAAAGAAAATTACAATCTTTTATTACTTTTTTACAAAACTTTTTTAAATATTTTTAAACTTATTTTACATCATTTTTAAACGTTTTTACAAAGTTTTTTTTTTAATTTTTTTACTAACCTTCTAAAACTAACTTGCAACATTTTTTAAACCTTTTTACAAAGACAAAATTGCAAGAAGAGTCCCTATGGATAGGTTGAAATTGCCACTTTGGGCCAAACATGTTTGGACTAGCACTCATGGTCCACATGTATT